CCTGCCGGTTTCCCTGAACCCCTTCATAAATGTTACTTTGCTCACACTCCAACAGCACGTCAAGTATTAAAAACCAAACACGCTCACGCATGCCTACTGGAAGTCCAAGCCCCTCGCACACAAAACCTCCTTTACCCCCTCCCTCCAACCTTTCCTAGGCCGACCCCTACCCCGCCTTCCTTCCACTACAGACTGATACACTCTTCAAGTCATTCTGTTTCGCTCCATTCTCTCTACATGTCCGAACCACCTCAACAACCCTTCCTCAGCCCTGTGGACAACAGTTTTGGTAATCCCGCACCTCCTCCTAACTTCCAAACTACGAATTCTCTGCATTATATTCACACCACACATTGCCCTCAGACATGACATCTCCACTGCCTCTAGCCTTCTCCTCGCTGCAACATTCATCACCCATGCTTCACACCCATATAAGAGCGTTGGTAAAACTATACTCTCATACATTCCCCTCTTTGCCTCCAAGGACAAAGGTCCTTGTCTCCACAGACTCATAAGTGCACCACTCACTCTTTTTCCCTCATCAGTTCTATGATTCACCTCATCTTTCATAGACCCATCTGCTGACACGTCCACTCCCAAATATCTGAATACGTTAACCTCCTCCATACTCTCTCCCTCCAATCTGATATTCAATCTTTCATCATCTAATCTTTTTGTTATCCTCATAACCTTACTCTTTCCTGTGTTCACCTTTAATTTTCTTCTTTTGCACACCCTACCAAATTCATCCACCAATCTCTGCAACTTCTCTTCAGAATCTCCCAAGAGCACAGTGTCATCAGCAAAGAGCAGCTGTGACAACTCCCACTTTGTGTGTGATTCTTTATCTTTTAACTCCACGCCTCTTGCCAAGACCCTCGCATTTACTTCTCTTACAACCCCATCTATAAATATATTAAACAACCACGGTGACATCACACATCCTTGTCTAAGGCCTACTTTTACTGGGAAATAATTTCCCTCTTTCCTACATACTCTAACTTGAGCCTCACTATCCTCGTAAAAACTCTTCACTGCTTTCAGTAACCTACCTCCTACACCATACACTTGCAACATCTGCCACATTGCCCCCCTATCCACCCTGTCATACGCCTTTTCCAAATCCATAAATGCCACAAAGACCTCTTTAGCCTTATCTATACTTATCTTATACTTATATGTTTCACTGTAAACACCTGGTCCACACACCCCCTACCTTTCCTGAAGCCTCCTTGTTCATCTGCTATCCTATTTTCCGTCTTACTCTTAATTCTTTCAATTATAACTCTACCATACACTTTACCAGGTATACTCAACAGACTTATCCCCCTATAATTTTTGCACTCTCTTTTATCCCCTTTGCCTTTATACAAAGGAACTATGCATGCTCTCTGCCAATCCCTAGGTACCTTACCCTCTTCCATACATTTATTAAATAATTGCACCAACCACTCCAAAACTATATCCCCACCTGCTTTTAACATTTCTATCTTTATCCCATCAATCCCAGCTGCCTTACCCCCTTTCATTTTTACCTACTGCCTCACGAACTTCCCCCACACTCACAACTGGCTCTTCCTCACTCCTACAAGATGTTATTCCTCCTTGCCCTATACACGAAATCACAGCTTCCCTATCTTCATCAACATTTAACAATTCCTCAAAATATTCCCTCCATCTTCCCAATACCTCTAACTCTCCATTTAATAACTCTCCTCTCCTATTTTTAACTGACAAATCCATTTGTTCTCTAGGCTTTCTTAACTTGTTAATCTCACTCCAAAACTTTTTCTTATTTTCAACAAAATTTGTTGATAACATCTCACCCACTCTCTCATTTGCTCTCTTTTTCATTGCTTCACCACTCTCTTAACCTCTCTCTTTTTCTCCATATACTCTTCCCTCCTTGCATCACTTCTACTTTGTAAAAACTTCTCATATGCTAACTTTTTCTCCCTTACTACTCTCTTTACATCATCATTCCAGCAATCGCTCCTCTTCCCTCCTGCACCCACTTTCCTGTAACCACAAACTTCTGCTGAACACTCTAACACTACATTTTTAAACCTACCCCATACATATATATATATATATATATATATATATATATATATATAATATATATATATATATATATATATATATATATATATATATATATATATATATACATATATATATATATATATATAATATATATATATATATATGTCGTACCGAATAAGCACAATTTGCGTTGTTGGCTTAAATAGCAACGCTCATCTTGCCATATAGGACAAGTGAAAATTTGTGTATGCAATAATTTCGCGAAAATCATTCTGAACCTAACGAAAAAAATATATTTCACTGTGTTAGGTTAGTATTAAATTATTGTAAACAAATCTAAAATATATTTATCTGGTTTAGGCTAAAATAAATTGTTCTTGTTATAATAAGGTTAGGTAAGTTTTCTAAGATTCTTCTGGTGCAAATTTAAAAAAAAATTACATTAACATTAATGAAAAAATATATCTTTAAACGTATAAGAGAAAATTTCAGAAAGGACTTAATTTTAAATGAGTTCTTGCTAATTAACCAGTTTTACATATTCGGCACGACATATATATATATATATATATTTATATATATATATATATAAATATATATATATATATATATATATATATATATATATATATATATATATATATATATATATATATATATAATATATGTATGTATAATAAATATATATATATATATATATAGATATATATATATATATATATATATATATATATATATATATATATATATATATAATATAAATATATATATATAATAATATATATATATATATATATATATATATATATATATATATATATATATATATATATATATATATATATATATATATATATATATATATATATATATATATATATATATATATATATATATATATATATATATATATATATATATATATATATATATATAATATAGATATAGATATATGCAATAAGATCACAGTAAACAGGTGATTTCAAAATATGCAAAACAACCACTCTGAAAGAATAGAGAAATTCCAAGCGCTTTCGTGACTACTCACATTATCAAGGAACTATGTTCCTATTTTTGATAATGTGAGTAGTCACGAAAGCGCTTGGAATTTCTCTATTCTTTCAGAGTGGTTGTTTTGCATATATATATATATATATATATATATATATATATATATATATATATATATATATATATATATATATATATATATATATATATATATATATATATATATATATGTGTGTGTGTGTGTGTGTGTGTGTGTGTGTGTGTGTGTGTGTGTGTGTGTGTGTGTGTGTGTGAGTGTGTGTGTGTGTGTGTGTGTGTGTGTGTGTGTGTGTGTGTGTGTGTGTGTGTGTATGTGCGTGTGTTTGTACGTCTAATTTGTCAGTTAGGCAGAAATGCCCTAAAGATTTATTTTTCCCCACACCAAAAAGCATGAATTAATACATATTTTTTCTCTGGTATAATATTTTGGGAGGGCACCTGGAAACCTTGCCTAACCTAAAATAACAAACGTTTTTTTTTTGTAATTATTCTGCTAAATGCTTCATAGATCAGTTTAATTTATATTAATATTGCTTAAAATTAGTAATAAATGTTTTCTTCTTCGTGTTCAGATTTTCATTTGATTTTTGCAGATTTGGTACATATATTTTTTTTCTATCTGCCTATTGAATTGACATTTATGCCTTCTCTTGTACATTCATTTATACCTACGGTTGTCCAGTCAAATGTGCCTCTACTTGCACTGCATATTTATCTGTACTTAATATCATGAATATAAGTCCTTCTTAACTGTTTTTTGTGTGTGATATTTGTAGGAGGTTGTCATTGCTTCTGGCCCATTCATTTTAAGTGAAGATCGGGCAGAAGTAGTGGACTTCACTGTGGCAATGATGTTAGACTATTGGAGGATCATGGGTGCTCGAGGACTCCCTGAGGTGGACCCTTGGAGCTTCGTATTTCCCCTGGCGCCTCTGGTCTGGGCGGTCATCCTGGCGATGTTGATGATGCTTGCAGCCTCGTTGTTCCTGATGCACTCGTCTTTCTGTCACAAGGTTACTGGTCAAGGCAACTGGTTAAATGTCTCATTCGATTATATACGAATTTTATTACAGCAAGGTGAGTACAAGTATGTTAATAAGGAACGTTCATGCAGTCAGAGTTCATCATTTTGGGGAATATAATTTCCTGTGCTATATAAAATATTCACCTTAAGAATCTGTAATATTAATTTTAATGTAATGGCATAATAAACAACATTAATACTATTTTCTCGTGGAAAAGAATAAAAAATAGGATATAAAGTGAATACAAGGATACAATAAACAATTATAAACAATACGCACCAGTATGAAGCGAGGAAAAGAGATGAAAGTAAGTATATATGAAACAACTTAAATAACAAAAAAGGCACGATACCGTGACTGGAACGATACACAAATAACCCGCACATAAAAGAGAGAAGCTTACGACATCCAGTGGCTGGCTGGATGGCGAAGCGTCTACGATAGGGATGCCCGGGTGTTGCCATGTGTCTTAATTTCATCTTGTCGGTATTATATACCATTCTTGTACTACTACTACTACTACTACTACCACCACCACCTCTTCCTGCCTATATATAGCCGTCCTGCCCCACTTCTGGTTAGTGTGACTTTGTAAATGGTCCAAGTCGGACCGAAACGTCGTCGTAAGCTTCTCTCTTTTATATAAAACAACTTCTTAAGACGATTCTCAATATAGTAAGGCCAGCATAAAAGTCACAGACGACCCTCCGTCTTATTATAGTGAATAATTCTGTGTAATGTTCAACAGGCCATTAAATTATTTAACATTTGAATTGTATTAATTTATTAGAAGGAAAAAATGTAAGGTACGTTTATTGAGATATATAATTAAAATAATTATGAAATTAATGAATGGAAAATTATGTTTGTATTTATTAAAAAAATATATTTGCACTGAACATTTGTTGAAAGAATCATGTGAAAAATATGACGATTGTGAATATGTACAATTATTTAATCAACTGTGAATGTTTATTCATAATGAATATTTGATAGAAATTAAATATCAACACAAGAATTGCGTGGTAAAGTATGTTTAGTTTAAAAAAAAAGATAAACGAATTATTTATATATAGACAGAATTCTCTATAAGTTTATTCTCTATAAGGATTACAATGCTGAGTTTACAGAAATTTGGTTATTGTTTGGTTTACATGTAGTAAAATTGTGATTACAGAGTGTACCACTAGAACGCTTAGCATGGCTAGGCATTTCGGGCATACTTAGTTTTATTCTTAATTGTAAAATATTACAAATTATGAGGTAAGTTGGTATTTTGGCTAAGTGACTAAATACTAGTTTGTGAGTTTAGCAATGTGAATGCTTTTGTTTTGGCACAGTATATGGTTTCAGTATTGGAGTATCACAGGATTCATTATTTTAAGATTGAGATTAATATTCTGTTTATGGTCAAATGAGTGAGTGAGTGTAAGTGTGAACCACCAGGTGGTATTCGTGTAGTTAGTTGACGGGCTGTATCAGGGAGATAAGATGTTTTCTAATGGTAGTTTTGAAGGTGATGAATGTGTCTGCAGTTCTAGAGTTCTCAGGTAGGGTATTCCAGATTTTAGGGCCTTTGACATACATTGAATTTTTGTAAAGGTTTAGTCGGACACGGGAATGTCGTAGAGTTTGTTTGTTTCTGGTGTTATGCCTGTGGGTTCTGTCACAACTATCAAGAAAGCGTTTTAGGTCAAGGTTGATATTAGAGTTTAAGGCCCTGTAGATATAGATTGCACAGTAGTAAGTGTGGATGTACTAAAACTGGGAGAAAGTTTAGATTTTTAGAAGAGTGGGGGGGGGGGTGTGCTGCCAGGGATGGGATTTAGTGATTATCTTACTGCAGCTTTTTGTTGGGTTATTATTGGCTTTAGGTGTGTTGCTGCAGTTGATCCCCAAGCACAAATAGCGTAGGTGAGGTATGGATAAATAAGTGAGTGGTATAGTGTGAGAAGGGCATTTTGCGGCACGTAGTATCGTATCTTGGAGAGGATCCCAACCGTTTTGGATACTTTTTTTGGCTATATGCTGGATATGGGTGCTGAAATTCAGGTTGTTGTCAAGGTATAAGCCTAGGAATTTTCCCCCATTATTTCTGGTAATTAGAGTGTTGTCAATCTTAATGTTAATTTGTGCATCTCCTGCTCTGCTACCAAACATAATATAGTAAGTTTTGTCAGTGTTAAGCGTAAGTTTATTGGCTGTCTTCCAAGTCGATATTTTAATCAGCTCCTCATTCACAATGGTGTTGAGGGTGGCAAGATTAGGGTGAGAGATGACATAAGTCGTGTCATCAGCAAAGAGAATGGGTTTCAGGTGTTGGGATACGTTAGGAAGGTCATTGATGTATATGAGGAAGAGCAGGGGACCAAGGACACTTCCCTGCGGAACTCCAGTATCAAGTGGCCGTGTTGCTGATGCTGTGTCTTTAATGGTGACGTACTGATACCTATTAGTAATGTAAGATTTGAAATAAGCAAGCGCATGGCCTCTTATACCGTAGTGGTCAAGTTTGTGGAGTAGGATTTCGTGGTTTACTGTGTCAAAAGCTTTTCTTAGGTCAATAAAAATTCCTAGTGAATAATCTGTCTATTGACCAAACATTAAAAAAAATGTAAACTAAATACAACTCACTATCAAAAATAAAATATACTTAGAGATGCTGCGTGAATAGTTGGTATTATTTTCTCTCATTACAACATCTAGGAAATGGGTTTCTCTGTATTAATTTACTCGTACTGAGGCCTATCTCTAGAGATCATAATTATTATTATAATCAAGGGGGAAGCGCTAAACCCGGAGGATTATATAGCGCCTGGGGGGGGGATGTGGAAGGCATTCAGGCTTAATTCGGGGAACTGGAGCACAGATCCAATTCCCTAAATCAAGAGTCCCTCACCAACATCAAGGAACCTTCCTTGAGGGGCTAGAGATCATAAGACCAGGATCGCCGACGTTGTTGTTCTTCTGCTACGTCATCACAGCTAGAAAGTGACATAGATGCCTTTTTTTTTACTTTGAATGAACCAGAGGAAAAAAAAAGGCAGCAAAGGTAAAAATCAGCGAGAATGTTAGGATGCAAATTCCTCAAAACCGTAGCATGATTTTAAATTAGAAATGTGGTCAATATGTGTAATTGCCGGCCAAACTCTTACAAATAATCTGAAACGTTCTACAACGAGTGCCTTCCTAATCGTGCTGGGATTGGAAGATGTTGGTAGTGTGGATGGACTATGATGATAGTGTTAAGATGAAACTACTCTAGCGACCATTGGAGATATGACTGTTTCCGCATGCTGGTGCTTGGGAGCTGTTGGTGAAGGTAGCGGGCACTGTAGTGATGCTGGTGTTAAAACGGTAATGCTCGGTAACGATTACAGCTATGAAAGTGCCAGCTATATCGGAGTAAGAAATTACTGTGATAGTGTTGTGGATTTGGGTGATGTTTGTGTTAAATCAAATCCTTTTCCCAACCATAACAGATATGACAATGCCAACGTACTGGTGGTGGGAGCGGATGATGTTGGTCATGTGGATGATGGTGACACTGGTGTTAACACGGAGCTACTCAGGAAACCTGATGGCTCTCCTAGCAGTGAGACATATATCAGAACCTTACCAGTCCCGCCGACAAGTGCTGGACGACCCTTCCGTCACTATGATTTGGTTAAAAGGGTCTGCTACTGGAACTTACTTGCAGGTGTTTAAATAGATGTTCATTAATTCACATACTTCTCGTAAAACAAAATCACACTAAGATTTTCTTTATTAAATATTATAGATAGGCTAAAGGTTCTCTGAACTCTACCTGGCTACAAACTCTACCATGGGGCCATTGTAAGTCTAGTCTACATTAGATCATTTAGTACGCTGTGCTCATGTTAATACTGGCTTAATGTAACTGTCTTCGACCTTTAGAGCTAGAAAAACAAAATACTCAGAATTATTCTTGGCTGTCCTAAAACTAACTAGCTTCTTAACATGAGGAAGTAGCTTGGTATTCCAAAAATCATTGATAGAATAACTGAGACTAAACAATATACTTATAACCTATCATTAAAGCTGAATTATTATCAGACTTCTTCCCCAAAGCTCATCACTAGTAATCATTTCTTTAAATTACGTGAAAAAACACAGTTGCTCAAGAAGAAATTTCGCATTTAATTATTACAGTAATATACAAATATTATCTCTAATAAATCTAAGAAGTCTACTGACAGCCCAGCATGACTTCTTGTTAACACCTCTCTAGATAAGTCCTATGACACAGCAAAATGAATTGCTGACAGTCATAATGGCACAAAAGTTTACTTCTAAGACAGAACTTGACCCCTTTGATCATTACCGATTCTCAGACAGTCAAGGCACTTTACTCACATAATGAATCTGACAACAAGCTTAATGGAGAAGCTTATTGGAAAATATCAGAGAAAAGGAATTAATTCATAATTCATGTTGCTCACTCACACAATGAATTATCCTTACCTTATAAAATAAAGAATAGTAAATAATGGGATTAGAAGTCCGTAGCTTCATTCTTGTGTACTTGATAAAGCCCAGTGAAACTTTGAATTAAGGAATCATCTGCTACCAGTGTCTTTACTCATAAATCTTTAACTAATAATTATTAGGTAAGACACTTATGCAACAGTTAGGTATCTTTATTTCGAAACGTTTCGCCTACACAGTAGGCTTCTTCAGTCGAGTACAGAAAAGTTGATAGAAGCAGAAGATACTTGAAGACGATGTAAACAGTCCATCACCCTTGAAGTTTTGAGGTGGTCAGTCCCTCAGTCTGGAGAAGAGTATTGTTCCATAGTCTGAAACAATATGGAGTTGAATTGAATTGAATTGAATGATATTTTATACCATTTGAATGTTCACTGTCAGACACTGCAACACAAGGGTATCTTGGTACAGACCTGAAATCAACTTTGTCAACTTCTACTAGTGGGAATGGCTGGATTTGAGAGGGACCTGACCTTCCAACGACAACATTCTTACCTCTGTAGACGAATGGTTCAAAGAACCGACACGTTGTTAAATTAGACACATGTGCAACTCTTGGGTATCTTTATTGAGGAAACGTTTCACCATACAGTGGCTTCATAAGTCTATACAAAGGATAAACTTGAAGAACAGGAGGAGAATGAGGTAATCAGTCCCTCAACCTTGAGTCGATTCTATTCAAGATTGATGGACTGACCACATCGACTCAAGGTTGAGGGACTGATTACCTCATTCTCCTCCTGTACTTCAAGTTTATCCTTTGTATGGACTGATGAAGCCACTGTGTGGTGAAACGTTTCCTCAATAAAGATACCCAAGAGTTGCACATGTGTCTAATTTAACAACATTCTTACGTCTACTAGTGGCCTACATCTCACCTCCTGGCGCTATATAAGGCTCCATCCTGTCAATTCAACTCCATATTGTTTCCGACTATGGAACAATACTCTTCTCCAGACTGAGGGACTGACCACCTCAAAACTTTAAGGGTGATGGACTGATTACATCGTCTTCAAGTATCTTCTGCTTCTATCAACTTTTCTGTACTCGACTGAAGAAGCCTACTGTGTAGGCGAAACGTTTCGAAATAAAGATACCTAACTGTTGCACATGTGTCTTACCTAACAACCTGTCGGTATTTTATACCATTTGAATGTTCAACTAATAATTACATGAAGTAAATAAGCTTATATACTGAGCAACATGATGTAAAAAGAATTATTGATTTTATGGTACAGGTGGTGATCAAACTTGAACTCTGTGTGCTTGACTGTGTGTTATTTGACGAAGAGAAATATGTCATCTTATCTTATTAATAAATATATGATGCCACACATAATAAATATATTTCCTAAATTTGCTTGAAACGGATACAAAATAAATTTTAGATTTACGTAAACAAATATTTCTGTTTAACCAAATATTTTCTAGCTCCTAGGCCTTTTCCAAATTCGTATACTCTTCAACCACTGACAAGTGGATAAATATGAGGAGAGACGCAATAAACTATCTGCTATGGTGGCAAAAGTTAAAATGTAAATGATCAGATATGTGTCAGTCATTACTTGTTAATGCTTTCAGTTAGCTGAGTCCGGCATATACCGAGAGATTGCTGATGCTGAGAAAATTGGTCGACTCATCTTCAAAACACACGCGGAAGTCCCAGAAAGCATCAACACTTTAGTGAGAAGAGGAGACCATGTTCTCATCGACGTTGGTAATGCCTTAGGATCACACATTTCAGAAGAATTTACTAAAACAGGTAATGTATGTAACATTTCTTCCCAAGATTTGTTTGTTTGAATTCAGAAGGGATATATGCAGGACATATCTCACATGAGAGTTCATATCGCTACAGAAGAAGAATTTATATCATTGAGGACTGTGTCAATACCCTGATGACTCAACGATGTTATCAGTAGGATAGTCTGGTGTATTATTATTATATATATATTATATATATATATATATATATATATATATATATATATATATATTATATATATATTATATATATATATATATATATATATATATTTTAACAATTCGGCCGTCTCCCACCGAGGCAGGGTGACCCAAAAAGAAAGAAAATCCCAAAAAAGAAAATACTTTCATCATCATTCAACACTTTCACCTCACTCACACATAATCACTGTTTTTGTTTTTTCGGAAATAATAATATTTTTCTATTATAGGCAAGTGTTCATTTTACTCTTCAAAAGAAGAGTTTTTGCCTCTGATATTTGGAATGATTGGACCGACAGACCATCCGATTATCCCAGCATTTAATGAGAGGTAAATAATAATTTAACCTCTGGTTAGTGTGACTTTGTCAATGGTCCAAGTCGGACCGAAACGTCGTCGTAAGCTTCTCTCTTTTATGTGCGGGTTATTTGTGTATTATTTTATCGTAAGCTTTCCTACTTTTGTAGTGGGTTTACGATATATTTTTCTGCTACATAAAAAACTCCAGCGTTTTATTTCATAATGTGTGAAATGCTTTATTTACCCAGAATAATGTCGATGACAGAAGCTGGTCTGTTTTTCCACTGGATGAAAGCGTCTGAGCCGAACTCCACTGTATGTTATCACTCACCCACCAAAATCACTGTCAAGACGGCTCTCTCTCTGAGTAATGTTTGGGTAATGTACACTTTATCTATTGAAGCCATAAGTAAAATCTATAGTTATTCGCAACGTGTCCTGCAACACATTGAGAAGAAATTTGATTCACTAATTTTAAAGAACCTCCTGTAATAATTTTTTTTTTACAAGATGTACATGTGGATAAATAATTCTCTGCATATTGCGGCCCAACTCACTAATTTGTTTATCTCTGTATTTCAGGGAATGTTTGTTATTCTCGTTGTTGGAATTGCCATCAGTTCACTAACATTGTTTTTAGAGCTTATGATTATCAAAATTCAACTTGCATGGAGGCAGATAGAGTAAGAAACATCATATACTGGTAACGAAATATCTTATGATCTACAGCTACGCACTCTTAGGTTCACCAGACTGTTACTTCATGTATTCAGAACACTGAATGACTGTTAATTGTATTGTGTCGGTACTTTTGGTAGAGACTTTGACGGTACGTAGATTGTCATTATATTGACCATAATTGTTCATCGGCCATCATTATATTTGGTACCAATGTCTATTATTATTAAATATAATGATGGCCGATGAACAATTATGGTCAATATAATGACAATCTACGTACCGTCAAAGTCTCTACCAAAAGTACCGACTGGTACCAGTCATTATGTCCAGCATCACAATATGCCAACAATCATTATACTAAACAACATGTCAAATATTGCCTATCATTATATTTAATGTCACAATACGTTTACCTTCATTATTTAATTTTGTTATTTTATTGGCTCATGCTTTTATATATTTTATCTAAATATTCATCATATTTTATATTGGCAAAGCCATAACATTATTCTTATAGTCCTTTAATATTAAAATTAAAGTGTCATTGTTACGGTGCAGGAATAACACTGCTCCAGTGATGTAATGTTGCAGTGCAAGAATGTCACACTGTCAGAGCTGTATTGTCTCTGTTACAGTTCTCTAATGTCACTATTACAGAGATGGAATGTCATTGTACTGTAAAATAATATCACTGTTGCAGTGCTGTAATATCTTTGTTCCTGTGTTGTGTTATTCGTTTTTCTGTGTTGTAATATCAGAGTCAAACTTATATAATGTCAAGTTTAGTGTCAGTAAGTCACTGTTGCAGCGATACATTGTATAATCACTGTTGCGTTGCTTTGTTTCTGTTACAGATGTATTATGATGAATTTACCGGACAGTAATGTCACTATTACAGTGCTATATCACTGTTACACTGTTTAATATCACTTTTACATAGCTCGATCGTCTGAGTTAATGTTAGTGTGTTATGAATTTCTCCTATAGTGTTTATTGTCACTGTTACCATATGTGTAGAGTCATTATTGAAATGTAATGTCATTTTCACAGTTCTCTAATGTATAATTACAGTGATATATCACTGTAAAGTATTGCTTTTCACAGTTAAAATGGAATCATGTAAATCTTGGTCATGTAATGCCTTTGGAACAGTATAGTAATGTCTCCGTTACGGTGATACAATGTTGCTGTTACAATGATGTAATATGTCTGTATCAGTGACGTAATTTCATTGTTATAATGATAAAAAAGTAACTGATACAGTCTTCATAATCTGGCGAAAATTCTATTGTTTTTGCTGTTGTTGTTATCGCTAAATTCATTTAACGTCTAGGATGCACTGGCATATATTACTTTTATTTTCTAAATGGTAGTAAGTTGTGTTAGCAGATGTTCATCATATTCGAAAATGGTTGAAAGTTATATTAGCAAAAATTACTTGAATTGTGTTGGTGCAAGCTGCAAAAAGCAAATGTTTCTCAAACTCTTTAAATGTGTAAGTTACACTCTTTGAATATGTGTAAATACTTTCCTCATCTTACTAGTAACTAGCACTTGTAATGCAACTGTGTTAGTGGTAACATCTTTTAAGTAGTGCAGTTTATTTGTTGCAAATTTCTATATTGTTTTTCAAAGAAAAAAAATCTAACATTAAAACTATGAAAGCACTGATTTTTTTTAATATCCCAAAAAGCATGGTATAAAAAATTCTCGTTTAACGGATAGAATGCCATATCTGACGCTAAGTGAGATATTTGAGTTAATGCAAGAAAGTAATTCAATATTATTACAAAAGTACACAGAGAAATACAACATAAAATTACGTTTAAATTGTGTAAAAGAACAGAAAATATGCACAGTATCAAATTCTACGACTTGAGTGACTACAGAAATATAATTAGAAGTGTTTTGTGAAAGTGAATTCAACGAAGACAGAGGAATTGTGGACAATGATAAAAATCTGATTATTATTATTATTATTATAATCAAGGGGGAAGCGCTAAATCCGTAGGATTATACAGCGCCTGGGTGGGGGGGGGATGTGGAAGGCATTCAGGCTTAATTCGGGGAACTGGAGCACAGATCCAATTCCCTAAATCAAGAGCCCCTCACCAACATCAAGGAACCTTCCCTGAGGGGATAAAAATCCGAAAGGACATCACTATGGTTCTTATATAAGAACATGGAAATGAATAAACACTACAGCAGGGGAATTAAACTATACCTGGCAGGGTCTTTTCAAACCCACCGCACTAATGAAATTATTCGCCAAATTCAGTATCAGTGTTACTAAACGAATAAGCTTCGATAACCTTATTAATTCTAGAGTAATTCCCAGTCAAAGCAAACTCCTCTCGCGCAGGTATTTAACATAGACGATACCCACTCTTAGCTTCAATCATTCTACTAGGTAGTGCCCCACTGACTACACAATTTCCAACTCAGTACTTTCTCATATCCTTTGTAACTCTAAATTGATCCAGTATGAATCCATTATTTCGACTTCTTTCTTGAAGGCATATTCTCAAATCCTTATTTATATCTCCTTATTTATGTAGATCTTCCACTTATACACTTGAATCATGTCTCACCTTATTCTGCGAATTAAAGGGTATATAGATTATGGGATTTCAATCTGTCCTAGCATGAAAGATTTCTTATACAATGGAATGATTCTGTCATTCTTTGAATGTTCTCTTACGAAATTATATCCATCCTGTAGTATGAAGACCAGAACTGACTGAATTATCAAAGCGAGACTTACTAATGATATGTAAAGTTGTAGTATAACATCAGTAATTCACTATGTAACACAGTTTCTGTTCCTGGCAAGTAAGTGTTCTTTTCAACTCCTTTTCTTGCAGAACAATAGAATATGCCCATTACACCATTTAATCTTCTTCTTGTTGTTGTTGATTCGCCAGTATTCTCCCGGCCCGGGTCTTTTCCAAGTGGTGGCCCGGCCTTGGCTCCCTGTCTAGGGAGTGTCTGAGACCTAAGTCTCCCAGGAGAGGAGGTACAAGTACCCCCTCATCGTTAGGACCAACTGTCCCTAGGCCTGTAGATGAATGGTTCAAAGAACCGACACGTTGTTAAATTAGACACATGTGCAACTCTTGGGTATTTTTATTGAGGAAACGTTTCGCCAAACAGTGGCTTCATCAGTCCATACAAAGGATAAACTAGGCCTAACCACATTCTCCGCACTCACGGGGCTCGTAGGGAGAAGCTAGGCCTCTCTGGTCTGTCATCCCTTCCACAAGGGGGCTAATGGGAATGGCAGTCTTGTGAGCTGAAAGCTCTGGCTCAGGCACCTATCCTGCCGTAGAAGGGCTAGGCATGGTGTCAATCCCCATTTAGTCTTTGCTTTTGTGGCTTACAAGTTGAATTTTTGACCAAAAAATGGCTCAATTTCAAAAGTTTTATATTAGTTTTGGATGTAAAACAAAACATACAATAAAATAAATAAAATTTACACATTTTATTTTAAACTTTCTGAAACATATTTACAAAGTTTGAAATGAGCAGTTTTCTAGATTTACGAGCATCCAACAAATCACTTTCCCGTTTAAGCCCCCAAATGTAGTCTCCCATTATATTTTCGTTATAAGATCCCTGATATCTGTGTTCAAAGTCCATTATATCTTGGTGGAAGCCCTCCTCTTCTCCCCTGAGTATGCTCCCATATTCTACTTGAAATTATCAAGATATAGACCTTAAGGGACATCCTACAGCCCATCTGACCATAGCTTTTTACTAAGGTTTCAACAGGTTCCTGAGGTGAAATTAAGACACATGTGCAACATTTGGGTATCTTTATTGTAGACGTTTCGCCATCCAGTGGCTTTATCAATACAAATTCTAGGACATAATTTGAAGACAGTAGAACTATGTACAGAAGATGAGGTAATCAGCCCCTCAACCTAGGAGAAGGTGCGAAGAGCACCATAGTCGTGGAGATGTTGCACATGTGTCTTAATTTCATCTTGTCGGTATTATATACCATTCTTGCACAGGTTCCTGAGGTGTTAGCGAGAATCCTCCTGAAAACAGTAATCCCTGCTATCACATAGTCTCTGCTGCTAATACTACACAAGCTCATTACAGAGGAGGAACACTGAAACACTTCTCAAATCCAACAGTTAGTATTTGTTTAACTTATTTTTATACTACCCAAGTAATAGCTTTTATAACCGTTTACTCATGTGCAAGTTGATTGGTCTACCATCTTGTATTACAACTACTACCACCACAACTAGTATTACTACCACTACTACCACACCTAATATTACTGCTACTACTACCCCTACTATTACACCTCACTCTATGCCTATATACACACTCTGTGTCCATGTATTGTTGGGGCCTCTACAAGCTGCAACATACCTTCCAACGCACCAAACAACACCTCTACAAATCCCTAATACATCATCTGATAACTTACTCTCCTCTACCCCTTTCTCTTACAGCTAAAACAAACTTATTAATCTGCAGCGTGTCCAGAACAAGGCGCTGCGCTGGGTGCTTTATGTCAGAAGGGAAGACTTCGCCACAAGCGAATCTCTCCATACCCATCTAGACATCCCTGCGCTGAATCTATACTGGAAGACGTTCAGTGACAGACAAACCTGAGACACGACGTGACTACTGGACCTCTCTCCTTGACGAAGACATTCGCAGACCCACAAACCAACACTACCTTTTCTACTCCTTGTATGATCCTGCTCTTAACCCTATTTACAGATAACCTTTGGATTCTCTGACAGGTACCTTGCGCTGTTCGTTCCTGTGACCCACCTTCGCCTTAGCTACTGGGTTAAGCCCTGGCTCAATTTCTACACTCTCTGTAACGCTAATCTTCGCCTGTCCCGTCTTCCCCGCTCACCCCACCGGGATCTTACCAACAGAAGAGCCTGCTATTCCTGCTCTCAATATCTGTCCCACGATTGCTTTAGCTGCTGGGTTAAGCCCTGGCTCTATTTCTACAACTAAGAACACTCCTCTCCAGTGCTATTCGTCGTCTGTCCCGTCTTCCACGTTCATCCCATTGGGATCTTACCTGCACTTGTTCGTTCGTTCGTTCGTTCGTTCGTTCGTTTATGTATTGTTTGTAACGGCTTGAAAAAGTTCCTGGAGAGCGAAACTTTACCACAATAAAATGTCACATTAGTTGCATCTGTGTCCTTTTACTTAACAAGTTTCACATAATTGTCAGCCTTGTTGTTGCCCAGAAAGCTCTGTGCTATAACAACAAAACTCTCACAGGCTTCCTTTTCCTTCTCTCTGAGCTTCTTTGAAAATTCCGAGCACTCCATGATTTTCCTGACTTGTGGTCCAGTGAAGATGCCAGCCTTCACCTTTGCCTCTGATTGGTTGGGAAAGAAGTCTTCAAGATACGTGAAGGCTGCAGACTCTCTGTCAAGATTGACAAATTAGACACATGTGCAACACTTGGGTATCTTTAACGAGGAAACGTTTCGCCACAGAGTGGCTTTATCAGTCCATACAAAGGAGAATGGTGAAGAGCAGGAGTTTGAGGTAATCAGTCCCTCGGCCTTGAGTCGATGTAATCAATCCATCATTTTTGAAAAGATTGATGGACTGATTAAATTGACTCAAGGCTGAGGGACTGATTACAAGTGTTGCACATGTCTAATTTATCAACTTGTCGGTTCTCTGAGCCCATTCATCTATATACACTGCTGTAACAAACTGTCTCATTATCCCTAGTATGATGTGTAATGGAGGGAACAGAACCTTACGAGAATCCACCAGTGGTTTCTTTGATATTATGTCTTCCAACTGAGAACTCAGTCCTTCGAGGCCAGTGCTTCCTCTGGTAATGTGCTGCTCTGTGTCCACTATCCCAGTGACAGAGATAACAGGGAAACTTAGTAAATCCTCCCTGGAGCTCCATCAAAATG